TCAATCCACACTCGGAGGAGTACTACATTATCGAGGTAAATGCGCGTCTATCACGCAGCTCTGCCTTAGCTAGTAAGGCTACTGGCTATCCGCTGGCATATGTTGCGGCTAAATTGGCGCTAGGCGTTTCACTGCCCTCTATTAAGAATTCGGTTACTGGTGTGACTACCGCCTGCTTCGAGCCGAGCTTGGATTACTGTGTGGTTAAGATACCAAGATGGGATTTGGCGAAATTCGTACGCGTAAGCAAGAATATCGGTAGCTCGATGAAGAGCGTGGGCGAGGTAATGGCTATTGGCCGCAACTTCGAGGAGGCTTTCCAGAAAGCCTTGCGCATGGTGGACAGTGGCGTTAATGGTTTTGATCCTGATCAACATCCACTGCGTAAAGAAGAGCTAACAGAGCCCACCGACAAACGGCCATTTGTGTTGGCCGCTGCGCTGAAGGCTAATTATGGCGTTGAAGAGTTGCATCAGCTCACGAAGATTGACAGATGGTTTCTCAACAAGATGAAGCGCATCATAGAGTTTCACAGCAATTTGGAAAAAACTGGGAATACGCTTTCAGTGGCGCAAATTCTACAGGCAAAGCAAATCGGATTTTCCGACAAACAAATCGCTGCGGCCATCAAGAGCACCGAATTGGCGGTGCGCAAACAACGCCAAGAATTGGGCATCAAACCGTTTGTCAAGCAAATAGATACCGTAGCTGGTGAATGGCCAGCTACGACCAATTATCTCTACCTTACCTACAACGCAGACGCGCACGATCTGGATTTCCTTGGCGATTTCACGATCGTAGTTGGTTCAGGCGTCTACCGCATTGGCTCGTCGGTGGAGTTCGACTGGTGTGCAGTCGGCTGTCTCCGTGAGTTGCGCAAGCTCGGTAAACCCACCATAATGATAAATTATAATCCCGAAACTGTATCCACCGATTACGATATGTGCGATCGTCTGTACTTTGAGGAGATTTCATTCGAAGTAGTTATGGACGTATACGAAGTGGAGAATTCCGATGGTATTATACTCTCCATGGGCGGACAATTGCCCAACAATATCGCCATGGACCTACATCGTCAGCAAGCCAAAGTGCTTGGCACTTCACCGGAATCCATTGATAGCGCTGAGAATCGCTTCAAGTTTTCGCGCATGTTGGACCGCAAGGGTATACTGCAACCGCGTTGGAAGGAATTGACGAACCTGAAGAGCGCCATACAATTTTGCGAGGAAGTCGGCTATCCTTGCCTGGTGCGGCCTTCATATGTGCTCTCAGGCGCCGCCATGAATGTGGCCTACTCGAATCAAGATCTGGAAACTTACTTGAATGCAGCATCATTGGTTAGCAAAGAGCACCCGGTCGTTATTTCTAAGTTTCTCACAGAAGCAAAAGAAATCGATGTAGATGCGGTGGCGGCTGATGGCGAAATCCTTTGCATGGCCGTATCAGAGCATGTGGAAAATGCTGGCGTGCATTCGGGCGATGCCACTTTGGTAACGCCACCGCAGGATTTAAATCATGAAACACTGGAAACGATTAAGCGCATAACACGCGATCTGGCAGCGCTACTCGATGTCACTGGCCCTTTCAATATGCAATTGATTGCCAAGAATAATGAGCTCAAAGTGATTGAATGTAATGTGCGTGTCTCGCGCTCTTTTCCATTTGTATCGAAGACTTTGGATCACGATTTCGTGGCGACGGCAACGCGCGCCATTATTGGCATACCAGTTGAGCCGGTGGAAGTGTTGCACGGCGTGGGAAAAGTCGGTGTGAAGGTGCCTCAATTCAGTTTTTCCCGTCTGGCTGGTGCGGATGTGCAGTTGGGCGTGGAAATGGCATCCACCGGTGAGGTGGCCTGTTTCGGTGACAATCGCTATGAGGCTTACTTGAAAGCCATGATGTCTACTGGCTTCCAGATACCGAAAAAGGCCATACTACTCTCCATTGGTAGTTTTAAGGTATGTTTAGATCAGGGATGTAGAAATTATAAAGTCAGTTCAATAAATTAAAAATTTTTTATTCCAGCACAAAATGGAGTTGCTGCCCTCAATCCGAGATCTTGCAAAAATGGGTTATAAGTTGTATGCATCAATGGGCACTGGTGATTTCTATGCAGAGCATGGCGTTGATGTGAGTAAAGTATACCAAATCCTACTAGTATTCGTATTATAAATATGAGTATTGCCACCTTTTTCAAAAACAAAAATCTATTAATTCATAGGTAAAATAAAATATTTCCACAACGTAGGTACCAAATGAAGGGGTTTTTAAATCAATTTTTATAAGGAAATAATTTGAAAGAGGGTTGCCAGCCGCTCAAAAAGTTAAATCAATTTAATTCGCAGTAGCGGGAGTCGTTTAAGAAAACTTTATTTGGAAAATGGCTCTTAAGAGTGCTGCCACCTGTTTAGGAACTCAAAAACAATTAGGTTAACAAGTTAAATGAAATATTTTAATGGGAGTGTAAAACGAGAGCGATTTAAGTATCTTTGAAATGGGTTGCCATCTGTTCGAAATTCCAAATCGGTTTTATTAACAAGTTTTATGAAGGTTTGTAATATTAATAACATAATTTGAAGATATTTTTAATAGGGCTGCCACCTTTTTAGTAAGTCAAAATCAGTTTAATTAAAAAGTTAAGCTATTTATATGGGTATAATATGAGGAAGGTTTAAGTAAGCTTTATTTCGGAAATATCTATTTGGCGTTCCTCAAAATTAATTGATTTGACAATTTAAATAATTTCCATACGAGTGCCAAACGAGTGCGGTTTAAGTAAGATTTATTTCTAAAATATTTTGGAAAGGTTTGCCATCATTTTAAAAGTTTCGGTTCAGTTTAATTAGAGGTTAAATGATACATTACAATGCGAGTATCTAAATAAAGTTTTTCGACAAACTATTTTTGACAAGGGTAGCTAAATAGTTAAAAACTCAAATTTAACTTAGATAACTGCATCCTATATATTTGGGTCAAGTAGTTCGAAATCATTTTATAAGAGGTTGTCACATTCTTAAATTTATTAAATCAACTTTTCCGTTTATATTAAATAAAAACAAACAATTTAGCATTGACATGAAACTAACATTATATTCTTACATACAAAGACCATCTACGAAAGCCAAGTTGTTTTGTTTACTGAAACGGCTAAGTTAGTTAAAATTTGGCACAAACATTGGCCAAGTCCTGATATATATAATTAGTAACCCAGAGTTTACAGGAATACCAAAAATATCGTGGTCAGATCGATTAAGATGACCATCTGAGTGCCTGAGCTACTTCACTTAATCCTATTGGAACTCTAATAAGCAAACAGAAAAAAGTGACGACGCTTGTTACAAAAAGAAAATGGCTTAAAAAGCCTGAAAAAATTCCTCTAAGGCACCTGCCCTGCTATTCGGCTTAATAATCATTTGTTCGTAGATTTACCGTATATAGCTTCGCAAAGCAGCAGGAGATTCAGTTAGATATGTACACTAGGGTGGTCCTTAAATGTAAAAAGCAAATTTTTACATGAGATTTCCTAAGCCTCAACCCCTTCATCGATACTACCATAGTCAAAGATATCACATATAAATTTTGGTCCCAATTGGAGACGGTTAAGGTGTGTCGCACAGGGAGCAAAGTTCAGATTCCTCTATGGAGACTGAAAAAATTAAAGTTTTTTATCTAGTACAAAAAAACGATACTATTATAGTCGAGAATAATGAGAATTTCATTTCATTTTGTCAGCACCAGCACATTACTTTTCATAACCACTTCGGGAATACTTCAATTTCCGGATAATTTTGTGGCTTGTTTCGAACTATCCCGAAATTATTCAGAACTAGTCTCGGGATATTTGGAAACAAGCCACAAAATTATCCTAAACTAGTCTCAAAACTGTCCGGAACTGGGCTCAAATCAGTCCCGAAATGGCACTGAAATAGTCTTCAGCTAATTCCTTGTCGCGAAACGATCCTGAAATAGCATCCAAACGGTCCTGAACAGGTCCCGAAATGATCCTGAACTAGTCCACAAATGGTTCTGAAATAGGTGTGGGGACAGGCCCCGAAACGGTCGAAAAAGTCGTGAACTTGTCCGGTAATGATCTCGAATAAGTCTCGAAATAGTCTCTTATTAGTCACAAAATGAAGCAGTTACAAATTTACTGCTGGGTTGACGCGAATTTTACCCATATCAATAGCTGAGTTACCTGCACATCCAAAGGTTTATTATCTGCTGACCATTACTTTGAATTAATAATTGAATGTAAACGCAAAGAAAGAAAGAGAGACATTACGATATTGCTGCCTCTAATACCTTTTAATAAAAGACAATTATAAATGTATGCAAATAAGTTAGAGCACATGTATTTTTTTATCAGACATGTGTATTTACAAATTTATCTTGAATATCACGATTCTGAGCTTTGAATGAAAGCGCCTTTCAGTTGCAATGTTTTCCGTTTGATATTTTCTTTTATCTGCAGACGCTTCTCTTCCGATGACATCGTTGCTAATAGTTTTTCGGTTGATGCTGTAAGATCTTTTATTATTTGCGAATTGCTCAATGGTAGATTTCGCAGCATACGCGACCTTGTACCAAATCGCATGCATTTCGCCTCTTCGTTGGCTGTTGGCGGAACGCTACCTTGACTCGATTCGCCTTGATTCTCTATCTCGAATGGAGTTTTATCAGATTCTTCCTTTAAAGCATGGTTTTCCATATGACTAGGTGTTGTATTATCTTCAAAAGGATAGCCCTTGATAGATTCGTAGTCCATATACGACTCGCTGGATTTATTTTGCTCAGCAGCATTTGCAGCCTGGTATATTTCTGTAACTTCGGGGTTGAAACGTAAAATGCCAACAACATTTGCACTCTCAGGATTTTTTATCGGATTGGTGTCGCTCTGCTCTGCTGCTTGTTCTACGTGCTCGATGAACTTTGTGGACTTGTGTGAACCTCCATTGTTCTTGCAGTCTGTATTTTCTTGCAGCGCATTGTTGCTGCTTTTACTTTTGCTCACAGCTTTGGCCCCCTCCTTTTCACAATTCCTTGTTTCAATATCCACCTTTACAGTTCTGCGCACACACTCCAAATGCTCCAATAACTCCTTTGTGCCTTTAATTTTGCCTGTTTCAACACTTGAACGAATCGGCAAGGCCGGCGGTAAATGCGTAAAATCTTCGTTCATCTGCAATCCACTGATCTCCTGTTCCAGGCTATCGATTGTGCTAAGATATTCCTTTGCACCCATATCGCAGCCATAGTTGTTGTAGAATTTGCAAAGTCGTTTTGCTTGCGCCAAGAAAGTTTTTGCCAAATATAGCACACGAAACTCCAGTGCCTTCTCAGTCATCGCTATGAGATGATCGATAAAGATTTCGAGTATATTTGTGCGTCGTAAATTTTCAACACCCTGATTGAGTTGCTTTGGTTGAGAATTTTTGAGGTTCCGGCAAAAAAAGAACTGTAAAGCGGAAAGTGAGAGTTACTTAAATGACAGCGTAAGATAAATTCGAGAGAAAAGAATGGGACATAATACTTTCCCAAATTGTGAATAAGAGATTAAGTACATCTTCACAAAGCACGTCCGACAGCGGTGCCTACGAATCTGTCCCGGTCGAAATTTGTAGCTAAATTCCTACTGCAGGTAAAAGGACAGGTAGAACTTGTCTAGCTCCTTTTAAATCTAATGGCACATTGGTTGTGAGGTCATAAATAGCTTATGATAAAGATATAGCATATATCATAGAAACGAGAAAGAACCTGCAAGTTATATCCGAGCTGCTAAAAGGGCCTCATCCTTCTAAGTATATAGTGTAAGGAGTGTAGACTCAGTGTCCACCCAACCAGGATCGAGATGGAAATTTTTAGGCGAAAATATAAAATTTGTACTCTTCTTCAAACTGTCTTCAATTAGACCTATATAATGTAGCCAGGTTAAGATGAAATTCAAACGTTGATAGATTCCAGATTTGGTCACACAAAGGTTCTGGAAGCTCGTCTGAGCGGTCTACAAAATTTAGATTACACTACTCTTCTACTTAGTTTGTCTAGACAAAAAAAAATCATAAGAAACCCAAAGAGGAAAGCATGGAACCCCGTCAGAGTCTTATAGTCGACGACTATTTTTACTGGAGGTTCTGGGCTCTGGTGAAATCCCGCTAGGCTATAATCTCCCCTTACCGAACAGCTTTAGAAAGTATGAACCCAAAAGCCTAAGCCGCAATCTGGAAAAATCCAGGCAGTCTAAGAGGAAGTGTTGAGATGACTCCCCCTCGTATGATATGGTGTCCCGATAGCACATTGGCCAGTCAGTACATCCACCAGAATCCAGATATCTGGCTTCGCAAGCTTAAGGAGCTGGTTATTCCCCCAGCGTTCGCTGAGTTGACTCTAAGCCCATCTTTCTAAGAAAAGTCCACAAGTAGTCGTGGGAGCTCCGACTCATTTCATCAGCCGCACATAAAAGTGTAACACAGCTGTAATCCGACGCTATCGAAAGCTGGGCAGTTGAGGCATTGCCCAACATACTTAGAGCGTACCGCCTGGCTGTCTAAGTAGATGTTAACCTTCCTTACCGCCAGCGCACTCAACAGCTGCCTGGAAAATACCCCTCCACCGATGCTTCCGACAAGCTGGAATCTGTTTCCCTTTTCGGTGTAAACGTCATCCTGACCACTCTCCAAGCCCTGGGGATGAACCCCCGTGAGCGGAAACCAGCATATATTGTACTCAACCAACGACATGACATAGGAAGGGGTCATAATTTCTTAAATCTATACTAATAACCGGATATCTACCAGCGAACAAATTTATATTTTCAATAAATGATAATTAGCCTCTCACTTACCTCAACGTCAATAGACTCCTCAGAAAGCCGTCGCTTCTCATATTCCTGTTTCTTTTTTATTTCAATGTTATGCCTCATCACATGCGTTTTCCGTCTCAATTTTCCTTTGGTCTTCTCGCGATGTTGCTTCATGCCAATCAAACCCTTCGCGCCTTCATCTGCCATGAGCGCGGGCTCATCCTCAACTGCGTCTAACCCCACTAGACTGCGCGAGTTCTTGGCCTGTACTTTCAACTTCAGCATATTATTTTCGCAGAGATTGTCAAATAATTTCTTATAATTCAGCTTAGGAAAGAAATCTTCAGCAAACTCCACATTTCTGAGCGCTACCATGAGATGCATCAATGGATTGGCGGCAATGTCGGAGAGTATTGAAAATAGCATGACTAATGAATATTCCGGTATGGATTCGAAATGGTTACGTTCTTCAATGAAGAAGTCCTTCAAACATTTTTCACGCAAACGCTGCATAAAAGTGCCAATAAAACGTAGCAGCACTTCGCCCAAGTACTCCTCCGGCCAACCGGTAAAATTCCGCTCACATTCCCAAAAGAGATGCATGCGCAGATGATCTATGGTGAACATGAGCGCCTTGTGCTTCTCTTGTGGCTCGACAAAAGTCTTCACCAAAGCTTTGGTGATCATAAAGACCTTAACCTGCGTATTGGTGAGATGCTGCTCCAAATAGCGTTCGGCTTTCGGAAAAACAATACGCCATTCAAGTTCACGAAAGGGATTTCGCTGCCTTTTTGGCGCATAACCCACCGGTATCACATGAAAGCCGAAAGTTTCTATGCGTCTGATCATTGTACGTGTGGGCCATTGAAATTGCTGGCCTGTGAGTGGATTTGTCGAGACGGGTCGTTCGCGTATACGAAATTGAAATGCACAATCGGGCCAGTGCTGTGCATTGTGCGCTACATAAATGGCGGGTATGAGTTCAAAGTACTTGGTGTAGATAGATGGGCCGCGATATGTGCCCTCGTTCAATTCATCGGGCGATATATGCAAGCGATCGGCTAGTTGCTGGCGCACTAACTCGCCAAAGTAACGCATAAACTCTTTGGAATTGAGAAAGTTTTGCCGCAGCAGCACTTTGCGGCGTTCTTGCTCCAACTTGTACAAACGTATGGCCTGTAGTGTTTCGTGATCGCGATAACGTCTTCTTCCATTTGATCTCGATTGTGCACCGTCGTAACGACCGTCATTAGAGCTGTACTCTTCATCGGAATCCGAATTTGTGTCTGTGTCGGAGTCGTCATCTTCGTCATCGGTGTCCTCTTCGTGCCAGGGTTCAATGAATTGCGCCAAAGTAGAAACGCACATGTCGGGCAACACTTTGGCATTCAATTGTTGGTGGCCACGCAAGCCTTGCATCTTTAACTCAGCCAGCGGATGATGCGTATTCAAGTGTGATATAAATGCATAATCGTATTCAGATTCCATGCGGTAGTTACCAGTTGTGCTGGGTGCTTTGAAGCTGTAAGTGCTTGTCGTGCTATATCCCGAACTGCCATCTGTATAGAACCCGATGTCTGTTTTCGGATCTTCGCGTAATTTTAGGCGTACATAACCTTTCCATTTCGTTTCACGTAACATTTCAACATAATCTTCCTTGCACGGTGTCGTATTGTAAAAATTTGCATCCAAATCGACTTTGCAGAGTGGTGAAATCGAATCATAATTCGCATCATTCGGACGCGCTATATCGATATTTTCGAAGATTACATACATCGCTTGCGGTTGAAGTGGCTGGGGATTGTATTTATTTGGACCATGGCTATGGGAAGAAGGGATAGAAAGGGGCTAAGTAAATAAAATGTTTAGGCAAACTGAAAATCAGTTGAGGGATTCACAACGGAGTCGTAAGTGTCGTATTGTTGTAGATTGTAAACTTTAAAAGCGAACTTGAAACGACAACCAACTATTTCTTAACACTACCAAAATTCGAAATATGACTTTGATGGTACTTTGCGAATCCCCTTATATATGTTTTAGGCGTTTAAAGTTTACGACATACAACAATACGACACTTACGACACCGTTGTGAATACCCCAAGTGCATTTTTTACAAACTTTGAGGGAAATTAAATGTTTGCCCGTCCAGCCTTTTTGAAAGCTGGCAGACTTGATTACACCGATTCGGTAAATCAGAATGAAATTTCAAGTGTTATGGTTCCTATCTATTGATTCCCCGAAGCACATAAACCTACAAATGTCGACACCCGAAAATTTATTGATTTAATAAAACCTGAACCTGCTTGCGGAGCATGAATTCTCCTGATTTACTGGTAATATTTGGGCCTCGCAGATGCAGATTGTGCGTTGTTCGGACAAGTCTATAGCTTCGTGCTCCACGGTATCAACTAGGGTTGTCGCTTGTTCAAATACCTAGCCGGCCAACTTCAATTTGAGAAATCAAAGGCTTCTAATCAATCTCCAGTTCTCTGTCGACTTACATACATATTTACGTATTTTAACTTACATTGGCCTGTATTGTATCCACTTTGATACCGCTGCATCCAAGGGCGTAGACAGTAGTATAGAATGTTCCTCCAGATTCTGATTCAATTCATTCTCTTTGGCTAATAGTTCCTCAGAAATGGCTGCCAATTCACTGCAGTAAAAATAATAAGAATACTTATGTAGTTATGTAGGTACATACATCGATATAAATAGAGCAAGTTGATATGGAATTGATAAGAGTTTGTAATTTATAAAAAAAAAGTCATGCACTTGAAAGTCAATGCCAATAAAATTGCAATAATACAAGTGGAGTTCCGGCTTCACTGATGGATTTTCAACAGAAGTGTTTCAGAATACATATATAGTATTTAAATGCAAATATACGGAAGTAAATAGGTGAGAAAAAAAATTGTGACCAGTTCTGCTGCTACTCGAAACATAAATTTTTGCACAGTTTCGACATTTGATTCCTGGCTGAAAGATCTATCCTAGAGGGAAGCCTGATGTGTTCTAGTAAGATAACCCTTGTCGTGTCTAAGAACCTGTAAAAAAGCATACATATATACACAGGGAAAAAACTGTCAATGAAATTGAACAATTGCAGTAAGATACAGTGGCGAAAATAAAAATAGGAACGCCAAGTCGAAAAAACGTAAAAACAAATGTCCGATCGAAATAAAAGGTTGAGGCGTATATAGTAAAATTTCATGGGAAATATTTTCGTAGAACATTATAACCCACTAGCTCGCGCCTGAAAGGGTCGTTTGACCCTTACTTCAAGAAACCCTGCAAAAAGTAAATTTGGAAGGTCGTTAGAGGATTGATATATTCTGTAAAATTATCATTCGGAAAATTTCTTCTCAGACAAAAACTTCATGCCAAATCACTTTTTCGACTTACGAATCGTGCCGATTTTACCACGTACCGCTTCATAAAATTTTATTTTCTTGTCGTTTATCACTCACTCACTATACCTACGTTTCATAGTTTCCGAAAAACTGTTGCGTCATAGACACTTGATTCAATACGAATGTACAGAGATCACTATCCAGATGATTTTGTATTTGTTGCTCAATTTGTCTATTGAATTCTTCTTTATTTATCTCATAGCTGGTACTTTGCGAATTTAGACTATTTGTACGTTCCGCTACGCCGCCGCTGGCACGTTTCGTTTTTATGGAAATCTGCTTTTCGGCGGTGTCCTTGCCGCCTTTTCCTTCCGATTTGCGTTTGCATCTTGTCTTTTTCGCTTGTTTCTTTTGTAATTTCGCAATTTGTTTTTGTTGCTTCTGCTGCTTGCGTTTGCGTTGTTCCCGCTTTTGCTCCTCCAATTGAAGTTCTTGCAAAGGATTATTGGGCGTTTCCAACAGCTTTGAGCTGGACCGGCCCATTTCTTTTTTTGTGTATGTAGTTGTGGTTGTGTTTTGTTTTTTTTTTTTCTATACCTATTTATTGCGTTGGTGCAGCGCCAAAACACTCTCCCTAATTAATTGTTTTTAATTAGTAAATTTTCAGAGATTCACTTTTTTCTATCAACATGACTTTTAATAAAATTTAAAAAATTTACTTTTATGTCTCTGTGCGCTTTCACTGCCGGTCTCGTTTCTACTAAAGCAAAAAGCTTGCAGAGATAGCAATCGATGGGCAAGACAATACGTTTTGCAATCATTGATCAAAATGCATTTAATTTTTTATTTTTTTTTTTTATTAGTTATTCTTGTGTTTCGATTCAAGTTAACTTAATTGCCACTGCTATGCACATCTTTTGCGCTATGGTCTGACTTGATTTTCTATGTAATTGATAATTTCTGGTGTCATTTCATTTAACTTGTGGTTGTTTAATTTCGTATTGGTTTTCTAGTTTGCGTGAATTTTTGTTTTTTCTACTTGGCACAAGCTTAATTAGTCACAAATATACAAAAATATGCCTTGCTGATGCACTTGTCAATATACTCGTGCTAAGTAAATACATACATACGTATGTATGTAAGTCGTTCGATTGGTTTAATGGGCAAAAATCTTTTGTTTAAATAAAACGATATGTGTATTCTAGCACTTCTGTTTAGTTCAATGCCATTCTGAATCAAGGGCATACTTATATGTACATAAAAGGGGACTTATGAAGAGAAGTAATATTGATATGTAGTACACAACTGGCGTAGTAATTCTACTGAGTTAAATGACAATGCAGATAATATGCAATGAAAGTGGGTTAGGTTGGATTAGCTTCGCTGATCCACACGATCGCATATAGTCCCCTACTCTGTCCATAGTACAGCCAAGAGTGTGTAATTTCAGACTCAAATCCTTTTCGCCGAAATCCGTGGGTTATCTGATAAATTCGGTCGAGGTGTCAACAGCCACTTTCCCATGATCAATGTCCAATATTTGCTTCGAAAACATCTCCGCACTTTTAGCTTTTTCAAAAACACCCGCATTGGAGCGTCTTCACATTACGCCACAAATGGGTTAATTTTAAGCAGGCATTTAGTTCATCAGCTGCAGTTGATTGTGTAATAACTGCAAGTGTCTGACTGAAAATCGCTGGACACAGAATGATGGCTCCGCGAAGAATGTTTTGGTTGTTATGAAGATCTCTCAAAGTTCTGTCCAGTGCCTCCAGTGACATCTTTGGGCCCATCGTGCATTCGTCCCAAATGATGAATTTGCATACCTGTAGAATCTTCCCCATTGCACTGTTTTTGGCGACGTTGCAAGCTGGTGTTTCGTTGAGTTGCATGTTCAGTGGCGATTTCAAGGCTGATGATCTGATTATGGCAACTTAACGTAACTTACAGGCTCGCATATTAAGATTGTTAAATTGGTTCGTAAGATATACGTGATTAAGTGTAACTACTTTTTATTTTACGCTGAATAACGGTAAATTAAAAATATCTTGAAAACGTATCCATAGAATAAAAAATTAAGTCGATTTTCGGAATCAGCGAGCGATTCTGTACAGGAATTGGATAGTTGCATCCATTGAACAATTTTTCTGTAAACCAGTATTATTTATTATCGGAACGAACGAATTTTACTTCGCTTTTGAAAAGCTAATAATGTTAATTGATTTTATTTCGCACCAGTATGCGAAATAGTGTCAATTGACGTTATTTCCGTTGATTTTGTTACCTGTTACCGTCGCTGCTATTCCACATGAAGCTAACGCTAGGGCAACTTCATTCTGCGATCGTATCCTCTCCAGAAGCAGTGAAATTAAGGATGTTTTTCCAGTCCCTGCAGGAGCATCCAGGAGGTAAGTTCCACTATTTACAGTGTCTACAGCTGCTATCAAAGAGTCGTATTTTTTGTTATTGGTGCAATTGTGGAACATTTGAACGAACCGCTTCGGCTGTTGCTTTCTTTGAATCGCGTGGTTGAGTGCATCATGCACTGTTCGATTGGGTCATCATATCATACCTAAATATGATAATACTTTGTTTGGCATCAATAAACTCTAGCTTGACAGAGTTACAGTATTTCCCATTGATGTGAGCCTCAAAAGCTTTGGATAATATTGGCGAGTATTCCTTTTGGTTTTTACTATTTAGATGGGTGACAGTCCTATTGAAAACATTTCTAAATCAAAAAATTTTCGAGTACCTTTCGTTTGATACCTACATATATTGTAATATATACTTACATAGTTTATCTTAACAATTTAATTGAATTTAATTTTCAGAATAGAAGGCAACCCGCCTCAAAAATATTTTCAGCTCTAAGCTTTCTTAAACTTCTTTAGTTTGCTAGCCATTTTGCATTATTTAATTTATCTTATCTATGTAGTTGTATTAAATTTTTCAACAGGTGGCAGCGCTGCTCAAGAATATTTTCGAGAGCAAGCTTCCTTAAACCTTTTAGTTAGATGCCCACATTGCAATATTGTATTTATCTTGCCAATTAAATTCAATAAAAATTTTGAAACAGGTGGCAACCCTCATTAATAACAATTTTACTTTAAGCCTTATAAACTACTTTCTTTTGACGCCCACGTTGCAATGTCTACCTTATCTCATTAATTAACAAACAGGTGGCAACTCCCTAAATTTTTTCTTGCTTTTAAATCATCCGGGCTTATTCAAATCGGTCAAACCGTTTCGAATTTTAGCGAGACGAACGGATTCATTTTTATATAGACTGTAACTACTTTTACGCTGTATTAGTTATTTTAAATTCTAAAAGGATGTAAGTTATTAATCTACTGCCTTTGAGCACATTGGATTTTGAAGGAAAATTAGTTAGGACCTTTCTATATTACCGATATGTACTATTTGGTTACATCCGTATATTTACAAACTTATGTATAAATATGTATATTTTCTCAAGAGAAACTACATATCAGTATATTTATAAAAAACTCATATTTATAAAATAACTTCTTATCTTTTACAGGTGGAATCTGTTCAGTGGACTTTTGATAAGCAATCACCTGAAGATCCCAACGGTGAGCTTCGGCACTTGGCTGAGTTCTTGGCGAATAAACAATTCGATATGGTTATTAATCTGCCAATGCGTGGCGGCGGCGCAAGAAGGTGAGAATTAAGCTGCGAATACACTATGAAAAATTTACGAGATAGATCAAAATACATGCCAAATGACGGTTTTAACATTGAGACTTTCTTAAAACATCGAAATAGGCCCCAGTCTGGGATTTATGAAATTTTTTATTTTGTTTTACTTTTTTTCGAGTGAATTTATTAGTTTATTATTTTACCTAATCCATCACACTGCTCTTTAAAAATAAGGTGTTTATCCTGTCTTCCACTCATCTCTTTTTCTCGATCGTACTTTCTCTAGAGTATCTTCTTTCATGACCCATGGCTATCGTACACGTCGCCTTGCTGTCGACTACTCCATACCATTGGTGACCGATGTCAAGTGCATCAAACTGTTAGTTGAATCAATGCGCATCACTGGTCGTCGTCCAGCCATGAAAACCCACACCGATTGTATGACTTCGCGTCGTATCATCAAACTGCCCGGCTTTATTGACGTCCACGTTCATCTACGTGAGCCGGGTGCTACGCACAAGGAAGACTTTGCCACCGGCACCGCTGCCGCATTGGCCGGTGGTGTTACCCTTATTTGTGCTATGCCTAATACTAATCCTTCGATTGTCGATCGTAATAGCTTCCAGATGTTCCAAGATTTGGCTAAAGCTGGCGCGCGTTGCGACTACGCGCTCTATGTTGGCGCCTCTGACACCAACTGGCAACACATTGGTGAGTTGGCTTCACAAGCGTGTGGCTTGAAAATGTACCTCAATGACACATTCAGCACACTGAAAATGACCGATATGACTGTGTGGGAGAAACACATGCAAAATTGGCCAAAGCGCGCGCCAATCGTGTGTCATGCGGAACGACAAACAATGGGCTCCGTTATACTTATGGCTCATCTGCTCGATCGTCCTGTGCATATTTGCCACATTGCACGCAAGGAAGAGATTATGTTGATACGTGCTGCAAAAGAAAAGGGTATACGCGTCACCTGTGAGGTTTGTCCGCACCATTTATTCCTCTCCACTGACGACATACCGGCCATAGGTGACGGACGTGCAGAAGTACGACCGGTATTGTGCTCACCCGAGGATCAGCAGGCCTTGTGGGACAACATGAATTACATCGATGTATTTGCCACTGACCATGCGCCGCATACGTGGGAGGAAAAGAACTCTGAGAAGCCACCGCCAGGCTTTCCCGGTTTGGAAACCATACTTCCAATGTTACTTAAGGCTGTAGACGATGGACGTTTGACGCTCGAAGACATACAAAATAAATTCTACCGCAATCCAAAACGCATCTTCAGTCTGCCGGAACAGCCCAACACCTACATTGAAGTGGATTTGGATGAGGAATGGACTATCAACAGGGAAGAAATGCATTCCAAGGCGAAATGGACGCCCTTCGAGGGCACCAAGGTGAAGGGCAAAGTGCACCGCGTTGTGTTGCGTGGCGAAGTCGCTTTCGTCGATGGTGAGGTACTGGTGCAACCTGGTTTCGGACAAAATGTCCGTGGCCAATATGCGCGTAAATCGTTGCTGCAACAATCGTTGGAATCACTTGAAATCGGCGCATCCATCGATGG